CTTTCTGCTTCCTTTTCCAAAGAGTTGCCTGGTCCCTGAAGGGAGGGATTTGAAGACATCCCTTTTAGTGCTGAATGCTCTGAGGTCTCTCACTCTCTGCATACTGTCTGGTTATGGGTCTTTGTATTTGTTCCTATCTGCTGTCGGAGGAAGCTTCTCTAAGCCAGGTATACCAGCATAGCAGAATGTTGTCAGGAGTCACTCTGTCACTATTTTCCTTTAGCAGAACGTTTGGTCCCTGGACTATCTAGTCTCAGATTCTTGGCCACCCAAGAAGCATTATGTATAGGTTCTTTCTCTCTCCCTCTTTCTGAGACAGGGTTTCTCTGTGTAGCCTTGGCTGTCCTGGAGGGTTCCGTCTCTTGGAGTGAGCCTTAACTCAAATCAGATATTGGCTGGTTCCTCTCACAAGCATTGTGCGTGTATTGCACTAGTCTATCTTGCAAATCAGGTCACATTTGTAGACTGAAGGATTTATAGCTGGATTGGTGTTTACCTTTCTCCTTTGGTAGCCTGCAGAGTACCTTCCAGTACCATGAACACTAATCGGTAGGGGTGACGGTTCCAGCTCCACTTTTCCGTGTTCAGCGAGTTGTTTAGATATTGTCTTTAGCAATAGTGCCATGCATTCAGTAAATCTTGGCAATAGCCTTAAACGAGGCGGATTTTGAGTGCTGGAATTAATTACATGTGTGCACCATCAGCCACAGCTGGCAAAAGTTTGGGTTTTTGCTTGCTTGCTTAAGACAGGAGCTCGGGTAGACTAGACTGTCCTCCACTCCACTATATAGTTGATAATGAATTTGGACTCCCAGTCCTGCTTCTCCCAATCCTGACTGCTTCTACGTGTCATCATGCCTAGCTGCAAATGCTTTAAATTTTTAAAATATTCCACTTAGTGTGTGTGTGTGTGTGTGTGTGTGTGTGTGTGTGTGTATGTGTGTGTGTGTGTGATAGCATACAAACGGTGGTCAACCTTGGGAATCATTTCTCTCCTTCCACTATGTGGACTGAATTCAATGTTGTCAGGCTTGCTGGCCCTGCAAATGTTTTTAAACAGCAGGACTGATTTAGATTCAAGATTCAAATCATTTAAAAATTTTCACATCACACTTAACATTTATCATCATATATAACGTTTTTGTTTTTTTTTTTTTTTTAACTTAGTTATAGAGTTGACTCCTAGAAATGTAGCCGTGTCAACTGAATTGATTAGAAACAGCTTCCACAGTCTAGGGTTTTTGTTGCTGCTATTTTGCTGTGGTCCAAGTTGGCCTCTAATTCACAATGTATGCCAAGGTGGCCTTAAATTAGGGGTCTTCCTGTCTCAGCCTCCAGAGTACTGGAATTACAGGTATACAATAGCACACACAGTGACTTCCAGGTTTGGTTTTGTTTGTTTGAGACAGGGTTTCTCTGTGTAGTCTTGTCTGCCCTGAGCTCTGTAGGCCAGGCTGGCTTCAAACTCATAGAGATCTGCCCGCTTTGCCCCCCAAGTGCTGGGGTTAAAGGCGTGTACTACCATCACCTGGCCCAACTTCCAGGTTCTTCTCTTGTTTTGAGACAGGGTTTCTCTGTGTGTAATCGTGACTGTCCTGGACTTGTAGACCTGGCTGGCCTTGAACTCACAGAGGTCCGATTGCCTCTGCCTCCCAGAATGCTGGGATTACAAGCATGTGTCACACCACCAAACTCCCAGGTTTTTTTTTTTTTTGTCTTTTTTTTTATTAGTTACATTTTTTTAATTTTTATATTAATCACAGGTTATTTACTTTGTATCCCAGCCATAGACTCCCAGTTTTTTAACTCAAAAAAAATTTTTTGAGACATTCTATTATATAGCTGTGGCTGTCCTGGAACTTGTTACATAGACCAAGCTGTTCTTAAACTCACAGAGATCCACTTTCCTCTGACTCCCAAGTACTAGGATTAAAGACATGCACCACCCACCATGCTGGACCCTAACTCTAAAAACATTTTAAAATTTTCTCTAGTATGAGTGTTTTAGCAGCATGTATGTTCCACAGACTGGTTTCTGAAAACTCATTGTACTTCATTTCCTCAGGACTTTATTTTACTTGCAGTTTTCAACCCACTCTGCCCTGCTCCTGCTTTTCCACTCTTATCCTTGCTTCTCTCCCAAGCTGTTCTGCCAGGTGCTCCTTCAGTCTTCACCATCAAATGAAAAGTTATTCTTTCCTTTCTTTCTTTCAAAGCAGTGTCTGTGCCTCACACTGGCCTTTAACTGACGTTCTTCCTGTTTGCCTCTGCCTCACAAATGCTGGGATCCCAGAAATACATCGCTACTCTTGCCATCCACCAAACTTTTAAATACAATCCTTTCAACTTTCCTAACTGTGACCCTCCTCTTCATTCTTCTCTTTAGTTCTCTGTTGACATACATCTCTCTTCTTGACCTTCTAATAAAATATCACTTCTTTTTGTTGTCCAGACTCCATCTCTGAGCTTTCATTCTTCCTTCCTTACCCTTCCTAGTGCTTGCATTACAGCTTCGTGCCACCATTTCTGACTCCTACTAGTTTGATCTTCCAACAATATTTCTCTGTAACATTTCTTCCTATGACTTCATTTACAACAGACCTTGAAATCTGTAAAGTCTTTACTGACATTTTTTCCTTATGTCTTTGTACTTAAAGACATTTTTCTTTATGTCTCTGTACTTCTTTTCTACCTTTAAAGGTTTTTATGCACTTTCAAAATTAAAAATACTGTATTTCAACCCTGGGTTTGAGCCCATTGGTGGTGGCACACACCTTTAATCCCAGCACTCAGGCAGGCAGAGGCAGGCAGATCTCTGTGAGTTCAAGGGCAGCCTGGTCTACAGAACTAGTTCCAGGACAGCCAAAGGCTACACAGAGAAACCCTGCCTAGAGAAACAAAAACAGAACATGAAGTTGAAGTATAAACAATTCAGACAGTGCCTCTGTGATACTCACAAGCCCTCTGTAAAGGTGACTCCCACGTTTCCACTCTTTCTTTGGATTGTTATTTGTATTTCTCCTCTCTGCTTAGCTACCAGTTTTCTTTTATTTATGCGTGATGCTCCGCTCTTGCTGCAAATGCAACACAAAGATATACCCTGTAAGCTCAGTTCCCAAATACCTAATTTCTTCCATCTTTACCACTGTATTTTTGTCTACCTCATTAACTTATTTTGGGAATGGTGTAATAACTAGTGTTTTTGTCTCTCCTCGTTCCATTCCATTCCATCTCACTTGTTAACCAAGACTAATTTTAAACATTATTTTTTGTGGGGAGTGGTGTTGCATACCTTTAATCCTAGCAAGGTCATGTTCTACACATTCCACATTATTTATACCACAACAGAATCTGTAGGAATTGTGAAATAATAATTTAGAATATACTCTATTGGTCTGCACAACATAACTCTAAAATGCATAAATGTCATATGAAAAAGAAATTTTTTTTTTTTTTTTCAGAAACAAGATTTATATGTGACAACTCTGGAGATAACTTTTGCTAGGTAGCTTTTTCAGACTGATAAACTGAGGCCCAAGTAAGTTTAGACAATAGAATAAATCTGTTAAACCAGTAGTAGACTAACATTTAATAAAAACAATACACGGGAGCCAAATTTCACTTATTTTGAAGAAAAAAATTTACTCTTTATAATCAGATTAAACTCAGCACTGACAATCAAGAATCTAGTTCCCAGCATGCACCTTTGTAGAACATGTTGAATAAATTACTCAAGGCTGGTATTCTATCTTGCTCAGTGCTGAAGCTATGTTTAATAAGGTGGGTAGGAGGGTATGGTTGGCAGTCTCCAGAAAACCATGCATCTTAAAAGTATTGCAAACAGCACAGCTGCCCATCTATCAACAAAGAATACGATGAACTAAACCGTGCACATGGATTTAATTGGCTTAGAATTCTTTTAAACATCACAACGTTCCACTATTCATTAATGTGACAACATGTGAGTCTTTTCGGTGTCTGGGTTTGTTTTTCGAGACAGGGTTCCTGAGTCGCCCTGGCTGTCCTGGAACTTGACTGGCCTGCCCAAGCGCTGGGATTAAAGGTGTGAGCCACCACCGCCCTGCAGTTGTTTTTTTTTTGTTGTTGTTTTGATAATGCGATTTCTGTGATGAATCTGGCACTAGTTATTAATGATCATCCCGGAAAGAAGCAAATATCAGAGTTGCTTGAGATAATCCAGTATTTTTTTTCTCTTCTCTCCAAACACATTTCCACTACACTGGCTTCTGAGTTAGCCACCTGTGCTACGGAGGGAGCCAGTTCTTTGAAAGCTTCGTTTCTCTCTCCTACATGACAACAGGGAGCTCTGATCAGAACGCTAGGTAGCTAGCACGGAAGCCCTTCCTCCACACACTGGGAGTCCCACTCCGAGTTCGCGTGCTGCGGCTTCCACTCGGCGTCCTAATTCCGCCAGCTCAGGAAATAGGAAAGGAAGTTCCTGGAGGACGACCGGGGCTCCTCTGCCACGTGGCCCACAAAACTCCCGCGGAGCAGGCGAGCTCCCCGGGGCCTGGCCGCGGAAACGTGGCCCGCGCAGGGGGAGCCGGAACATGCGGGCTCCGAGGACGCCGGCTCCGCCCGCCTCCTGGGGGTAAGGGCGGAGAGTACGCCGGAAATCCGTCGGGAGGGGGCGGAACCTGGAGCGAGACTTCCGGTGGCGCAAAGCGTGTTGGGATCAGCTTGCGGCAAACCTCCTCCCGCGGCCCGTAGGGAGACCACCGTTAGCGCCGCTTCGGCTGGCACGAGCTGCTCGCGGTCGCGGCGACTGCCGCTCCGGCTCCCGCTGCGTTCGGCCCTGCCCGCCGCCCTTCCCCGGCTGCCGGCGTGCGTTCCGCTGCGGTTTCGGCAGACATGTTGTGAGGCGGCGGCGCGGGCGCCCGGAGGATGGTTTGGCCGAGGCGGCGGCAACCGCTGCTGGTGGCGGCGGCCGCGGCGGCTCCGGCTCTGTAGAGCCGAGCCTGTTCGGTGTCCGCTCGCGCTGCTGCCAGGCGGGCGCTCCCGTGCCGTTTAGGTTCGGTTGGAGGACGGCGCCAGCCCGTTTGAGGTGACACGGAGGGAGGTTCTCCAGCCCCGGGAGTGGCGTCCCCACAGCCCTCAGCTCCCTGACTTTTCCTTCACACTCGCACTAAACTCTCTCACACAGCGGGTATTCCCGGCCCTCGAACCCGCCTCTCCTTCCTGGTTTGTACACTTTTCCTGAGCTTCCCCGACCCCGACATCCCTCTCCAAGGGAAGCCTTTTGAGAAATCTTCGAGGAGTAGTGGACCAGAGGCGAGGAGAGTTTGAAAGCTGGGGCTCGAGAGACAGGAAGGTACGATGGCTTCCTCGTCTGGCAACGATGATGATCTCACTATTCCCAGAGCTGCTATAAATAAGATGATCAAAGAGACCCTCCCTAATGTCCGGGTGGCCAACGAGGCCCGGGAGCTGGTGGTGAACTGCTGCACTGAATTCATTCACCTTATATCTTCTGAAGCCAATGAGATCTGCAACAAGTCCGAGAAGAAGACCATTTCACCAGAGCATGTCATACAAGGTAAACTATTCGTGTGGGATTTGGAATAAAACAAAGGTCCAGAGAACAGTCTTGTTAGTAGAGTAACCACTTCGTGTCACCATTCACTAGAAAAGTCAGCACAGGTGTAGAGACAGCCTGTACCTTAAGAAAATACCTATGTAGCGTTCTGAGGACGCTGTTCAGCAAGCTAATGCAAATAAGGAGTGCAAACGTTAAGGTCAACAAACATCCTCACCACCTTACCAGTACAGCTTGCAGTCAGGTCTTCAAGCAACAAGAATTGACCGCCTGGAGTTAAACTTCGATAATAACTGAGAACCTCAAAGTTCTCTCTTGGAAAGTTAAATTTTAGACATAACTTCAAGCATGAGTTGAGTCAGAGAGTACCTGTTCCTCACCTGACCTTTTTCCACTGTAGAGGAAAAGATTTTTGAACACATGAATAAAAACCACCCAGGGTTAGTCAGTTTTGCATCGTCTATCTAGCATGCACAGGGTCCTAGATGTGATTCCCAGCCCCGAATAAAAAAGGTTGTTAACATAAGTGTGTTTAATGTTGTAAAGTTTATTGCATTCCAAAAAGGAAGTCTTTTTTGTTGTTGTTTAAAAAAACGGTAAGATGGTGGAGTAATCATCACCAGGTTATCAAAGCATTCCTGTAAGAAAAGACAAGTGCCTCATTTTTTTTTTTTTGACTCTCTCCAACTTTTGATTTTTCTTTGAAAAGTTATTTCTAAAAGATGATTTTTCACCCGTCTTGGGAAGAGCTGGCCCTTGAACCTAAGCCCTCTATTGCAGAGTTACAACCTGTCCTTCCCTCATGCTAGTCTATATATTTAAGCTTTTACTGAAAAGTACTAAAAGTTTCAGGAGTTTTTTCTTCTTGGCAAGGATTTTCAGTAAGTATCTGGGGGACTGTTTTGATGGTTGTAGGGAAGGAGGGAAAAAATACTTTTGGCAAATTTTGAGAAATACTTTCTGCTGCTTTTCATTAACCCTTATTAGAAAGTTGCATTCAGTTTGAGGGAATAACTTATGTTTTGTAATAATCTAGTGAAAACTCCAAGGGATAGACATGGTGGCACATGCCTTTGATCTCAGCACTGGGAGAGGCAGAGGCAGGGAGAGACAAGTGGATCTCTGAGTTCTAGGCCAACTTGGTCTTCAAAATGAGTCCAGATTACCAGAGAAACCCTGTCTCAAAAAAAAACCCAAAAGTCCATCAACTTCTTGATTACTTTTGGAGTTAAAAAGAACAAAGTTAATCAATTACTAGGCAGGTAATTCTCTATCATTGCCATTTTGTAATTTAACTTATTTTATTTTTAGCTTTTTTGAGACAAGGTTTCTCTGTGTAGTCCTGAAACTCACTTTGTAGACCAGGCTGTCTTCAAACTCATAGAGATATGCCTGCCTCTGCCTCCTGAGTGTTGGGATTAAAGGTGTGCACCTCCACCCAGCTATAATTTAACTTTAAAAACATTTTTACTTTCTTGTTATCACCAAATGGAGAACATATCTGTTCATATTGAACATATCCATTTTTCAACTGTCAGTATTGACAGAAAGATCAGGTGATTCATTTTTGAGCCTTCATGCTGTGCTGTGTTAAGGGTGTCTCTTAAACATGCCAGAAGTCAGTCCCAGTAGGTAGTAGAGCCATGATGGTATACATTTGGGTGCATGCATCTATATGACACACACACACACACACACACACACACACACACACACACGTATACTCTGTCATTTCAGCACATACTAGAAAATCTGTGTCCCCCCCACCCCCCCGGGTTAGGAAAGGCAAGATGCTAACAGGATCCTGCTATGTACTCTAGCCTGGTCTTAAACTTAAGTGTCTCTTCCCCCGGTCTCTTGAATAATGGGATTATTGACATGTAATCACCATTCCCTGCTGCTTATTTGATTCTTTTGTGTGTATGTGCTGAATTTAGGGCCTTATATGTGGCAAGCACTGTACTACAGATCTATATTCTCAATCCATATAGATTCTTTTCTTTTTTTCAAGACAGGGTTTCTCCATGTAGTCCTGGCTGTCCAGGACTCCAGGCTGGCCTCAGACTCACAGAGATCCTCCTGCCCCTGCCTCCCTGAGTGCTGGGATCACAGTTGTGCACCACAACACCCAATAATATTTGATTCTTAAATCTAGTATTTTTCCCCTACTTGTTTGGTTTGTTGAGTGTAAGAAAAATGGAAGCCAAGTTGTCTGTTTTGCGTTTTGCATATTTATTTTGTATATATGATTGTTGTCCTAAATCTTTGAGAACATTATCTAACAAATAGCTAAAGTTCCCTTTGACTCTTTATAAAGGAAAATAACTTTTTAATGAAAACTGCAAAAGATTCAGTAAGATCTGCCTAAACATTTTTTTTTTCCCCCAAAATCTAATAACACAATCTGTCGTCTTTGGGGAAGGTTCATCCTTTCTAGGATATATTTAGAGTTCTAATTGACATAAAAGTCAAGATGATTGATAAAAGTGTAGCTGTAGCAAACAGCATACAAAATAGTTTGACTTTGGAACATGCTAACTTGAGTTTAATGTGTGACTCTGAAAGTTACAGTGAGAAACTGTTCCTTTGTGTGATGACGGCTATCCACTAATATTAAAAAACTGAATTGACCTGTTGGCACTCATAAATTTACCTTTTTCATATAATGTTGCTATTGACTTTATAATAATACAGGTTTGCACCAACTAGATTTCATTGTAATTTCATATTATGTAATCACTTTGTTTTGAGGTGGTTTTAGGGGGTACAGGGTTGAAACAGGGTTTCTCTGTAGCCCTGGCTGTCCTGGAACTCCCTCTGTAGGCCAAGGTGGCCTTGAACTCAGGGATCTGCCTGCCTGTGCCTTTCAAGTCCTGGTTGATGATTAGAGGTGTGTGCCATCACCACTGCCAAGCTGAGAAGTTTTTCTTTTTCTGTTTTGTTTGTTTGTTTGTTTGTTTTGTTTTTTCTTTCTTTCTTTGGTTTGTTTGTTTGTTTGTTTTCAAGACAGGGTTTCTCTATGTAATCTTAGCTATCCTGGCCTTACTCTGTAGACCAGGCTGGCCTTAGATCCCTCGCCTCCCAGAGTGCTGGATTACAGGTGTGTGTCACCATGCCCAGCCAAATGAGTAGCCCAGGCTGTGCTCAGATTTGTGGTCTTCTTGCCTCTGCCTCATCCAGCTGAGCTTTTCTTTTTTAAAAGTACATATTTTAGATGTTTGAAGTATATCCTTACCGAGTAACTCTGGACAGCTGGTAAAAGTATGGTGGATACAACCTTTTCAGCTATTCTGTGAGAGGCAGAGGCAGAGGCAGAGGCAGGTGAGCTCCAGCCACATAGTGAAACCCTGTCTTTAAAAGAAAACGTTTTTCTGTCAGTGTTATCTAGGAACAGAAGATATACATGTATGGAATAATAATACACAATTTTGTTTTTAACTTTGTTTTATATACATATGTACATAATTTGTTTTTATTTTATATGCATTGTTGTTTTGCCTGCAGGTATGTCTGTGTGAGGGTGTCAGATCCTCTGGAACTGGAGTTACAGACAGTTGTTAAGCTGCCTCGTGGGTACTGGGAATTGAACCAGGGTCCTCTGGAAGAATAGCCAGTGCTCTTAACCTCTGAGCCTTCTCTCTGGTTTTCTGTTTGTTTGTTTGTTTTGTTTTTTGCTAATATACATTTTAAAGAGGTTCTCATTTTGAAATTTGGGTTTTTAGTAATAAAGTTAATTAAAACCTTCCATCAGGCCATTTCACTTACTCAGTTGCTACCTGTCTTTATCTTATTAAAGCAAGTTAAACATTCTTAGGCACTTCTGTAAAGCACAGATAAGGATTAAAATAATTTTATCATCAAATAAATATACAAAATACCATAATTTAATTAAAAAGCTTTTTTCTGTTTTATTTTTAGTAGATTTGGCATTAAAAATTACAGATACGGCTGGATGTTGGTGGTACGCACCTTTAATCCCAGCACTCAGGGAGTCAGAGGCAGATGGATCTCTGTGAGTTTGAGGCCAGCCTGGCCTGCAAAGCATGTCCAGGACAGCCAGGGCTACCTGTCTTTCCTGTCTTCAATCAAAGAAGAAAGACACAGTCTATTATGTTTAACTTTACAACATGATGACATTTACAGAGCTCAAATAAAAGTTTTAGTTGTATCATTTTTTTTTTAATTTGAGGTACAGTTTTTCATATTTATGAGAGTAGTAACTGCAAGTAGTTAAAGTTAGAAAAAGCCACTGAGAATATTCTTCCGTCAGTGAGCTTCATGTTATCTACTTTGGAGGGGCATTTTCTTTTTAATTTCAAACCCATCTTACACTGGTTAATACAATAAAATGGATCTCTGACAAAAAGCAGAGCTTAAACATTCATAAATTAAATTTGTTATTATATTGAATAGATATAAAATACTGTTCCTGCTGTAAAAGATTTTTGAAATGCTTACTTTGAATTTCCATTCTTAACTGTTAAAACAACACCATTATAACAAGTTCTGATAAGTCTTTGGACCATACATTGAGTAGCTTTGCTCTAAAGCCTAAACTACAGTGTATTTTAGAAAGAAATTTTGGGATCAGAGAAACTGACTGATTGCAGAGAAGTTGTAATACAATTAAAATGGTCCATGCTGGGTTGCCTAAATGCAGTATTTTCTCAAAGGGACACATGAAGTTTATACTGAAACCATTACATCATCAATTGCTTTTTTACAGTAGGATTTTTTTTACCTGAATTTTATTTTTCTTTTCTCTTCCTTCCCCCCTTTTATGCTTTGCCTTCCTTTCCTCTCTCTCCCTCTTTCTCTCCCTTCCTCACTCTCTCCTTCCCTTCCTTGCTCTCTTTTTCTCCCCTGCTTCTATTTGCCTCTGCTTCTTAAGGGCTGGGATTAAAGTTATGCCTGGTTTATTATTTTTCTTAAATGACCCTCTTCTGGAGATGCTATTAAACATTGAACCCAAGACTTCATGCGTTTTAGGCAAGTGTTTTCTATGTGTACTATACCTGCAGCTTGAGGCTTTTGTTTTCCTTCTATAGGCCCACACTTGCTTACTGAATTGCTAAGTATTTAGCATTGTGATAAAAATACACGAGTCTCAATCCTTAAGCGTTTCCCTGTTTTCTGGGAACACTATATCGTGGATGATGCAATTGTCAGGGCGCATCGTTCAGGCTAATTAGCAAGAATCTATTTTGACCTACATCAGCTTGCTATGCTTTAAGTGAAAGATGTCATATTCTTCCTCCCAAAATGAGAAACTAGAGATTACTGATTTATGTGTTGTTGTTTTTAGTCCAGAATATGTGTGATGGGATGATTCCTTATGTTAATCCAGGCACTCTTACAGTTGTTCCTTCTTGAAGGAGCGTCCTTTCGTCAGCCTTGCTTTTCTGCCTGTTAGGCTAAGAGAGTGGACAGTGGAGCAGCCAGCATACAAGACTACAGTTTATGTGTGGCTGAAGACTGCGGAATTTATAGCATCCTGGACATTTCACATCTAAGAAGTAGGAATTAGGGCTTTGTACCAGGTGTTGTTTATTTGTTTTTTTTTTTTTTTTTTTTTTTATTTCCTCTTGTCTTCTGGAGAAGGATGATTCTTTAACTACTGGAAAAAGTTGATTTGTATAATTTAAAGGGGACTTTACATTACTCTTTTTTTTTTTTCTCAGTTGCCCAGACTTCTTCAGCCTCTTGAGTATTGGGGCAAGTGTATGTTACTATTCTTTCATCCTGTTTTTCTATAACTTAATGAATATGAAAGTGCCTACTTTTTTGTAATGAGACAAAGTTTGTCATTAACATGTAAATTCCAAATGTTTGCCTTTTTTGAATTCTTTAAGAAGTGGCAGGCTTAATGGTGCTTAACTTACTATGAGTGGCATACAAAAGATACTTTTTCTTACCCAAACCATGTTACTCTCATAAGAAACATAAATTTTAAAAATTAGAGAAAAATGAAGGTCTGTGCTTTGAAATGTTCCACAGGCTTTAGCCAGGCTGTAGTCAGATACTAAGGAAGTACATGTATGTGGGGCTGGAGAGATTGCTCAGAGGTTAAGAGCATCATGCAGCTCTTGAAGAGGTATTTTACACACCCATCAGGTATTTTACAGCTGCTTCTAACTCCAGCTCCTGGGGATCCTGTGCCCTCACCTGGCCTCTGTGGCCACTACAATCACAGGTACAGAGCACACACACAATTAAAAATAATGGTTGAAGCAGGGCGCAGTGGCACATGCCTGTAATCTCATTGCTCAGGAGGCTGGTCTACAAAGAGAGTCCAGAGCAGCCAGGGGTACACAGAGAAACACTGTCTCGAAAAACCAATAATAATAATAATAATAATGGTTGATAAAAATATTTTGTCTTAGCCACCTCGACAATGACTAAATAACTGTGAAATAGGATAACATTGTTAGAAAATAATAAACGTTGTCTCCCTAGAGAAAAGTAACCTAAATAAATGTTACTCATTTGTGATGGAAAGCTATATTTTTTTTTTCAACTTTTCATACTTTCATTTCTGTAGCACTGGAAAGTTTAGGCTTTGGCTCTTACATCAGTGAAGTAAAAGAAGTCTTACAAGAATGCAAGACAGTAGCATTAAAAAGAAGAAAGGCCAGTTCTCGTTTGGAGAACCTTGGCATTCCTGAAGAAGAATTATTGAGACAGCAACAGGAATTATTTGCAAAAGTAAGTAATATGTTTTGAATAATATTGGAAGTCTATGAAAATCAGGGTTTGGTTTTGTTTGTTTGGAAAATTACTTCATAAGTCAAAAGAGGGTTCTTTTCCAGCTCCTTGCTTATGCAGAGTCTGCTATTTAGAACTTGACCAGTTTGGCTCTGTTTTATCTAAATAGTTGGCAACATCTAGTTTTCTAAGGGAATAATTGCAGGTACCTCTTGATTTTATCTTTCTTTTTCCAGATAGGATGATCTTCTAAAAGCATGAAAATACACTTAGCCACCTTTAAGTTTTAAATGGGCTGATGAGAAGTACACTACCAGATTTTATTATGAGTGGAATGAAAGGAAAATTAGCTAACATTTTCTTTGTAGCAAGGTATTGCTGTGTAGCCCAAGCTGGTTTTGAACTTAAAATCCTTCTGCTCACCACATACTAAGATACAAGTACATTTAATTTGAGCTCTGGTAGAGAGCTCTGGTAAAGAATGCATACTACTCTAGAGGGCCTGAGTTTGGGTCCCAGCACTCTCATTGGTGGCTCCAAGGAGATCCAACACCTTTGGCCTCTGAAGGTACCAGTACTCATTGCACATATTTCCTATAGACACACAAACACATGCATAATTAATATAATCTTAAAAATTAATGAACATTTTTCAATATTGAGTTTTCACCATTTGTTGATCACATTGCTAAGCAATTTGTATGTATTAGCTCATTTAATCCTTAAGATTCTATAAGATGGGTTGACGAAATGGCTCAGCAGTTGGTCACTTATTTCTGGAATTTTCCGTTTTAATATTTTGGTTGATTCCAGGTTACAAAAATCATGAAAAATGAAACTACATATGGGGAGAGCACTGTACTGGTCAAATGTTTCTGCTTTGCTCTCTGAACTCCTACGTAGATTCTCCTTCCAATGGGGTAGTGTAAGTAAATGGATGGGCCTTTTCTTTTCCTCCTTCTTCCAGTTTCTTTGCCCAGTCCAGGAACAGCTCCTTACTTGTTAGATCTTTTGAGACAGGCTTTCACTTGCGGCGTAGGCGCCCTGCCTCCAGTGTGGGGTTGTAGTGTATGCCGGCACACCTATGTCCAGACTCTCTCTGCACTGGCTGTACTAGCTAGTCCTGTGGTAGAAACTGAGTCCAGTCTGCATTTTCTCTGCTACAGAACCCGCCTGAACCTACAACCTTCTTGGGTATGGGTCCCACAGCTGAGTCTTCCATGCTTTTATACCTTAGCGCATAGATCTGTTCTTGGCGAGCTGAGTTCAGTTCCACCAAGCTCCTCCAAGCATAAGCTCCAGCCTCTAGTTTTGTTCTTGGATTAGATTTAGGGCTGCTGCTTGTAGCTGCCATCTCCCTAGTGTCTTCGTGTTCTTTTTAATTTCCAGTTATCTGTTTCCGATTTTATATTTGGTTAGCAGTCTTTTTTCTTTTTTTAAATTGGTTCCCAGACCTAATGTTAATTCTTTTCCCTGGTTTTACCTTGACTTATATGGGAAGGAGAAAACAATATTTTACTTTTACTTGAAATAAGTGTACAGCTTCATCAGTAACAGAAACTTAGGAAATTTCAGGTATACTGGATATAAAGAAAAAAAAAACACTGAAAATGCAAAAGTAATTGCATACATTTGAGAAACATTTTATGTTCTAGGCTTCCTTTGAAGCATGAGGGTAGACAGTTGTAATAAGAACGCAGAAAAAAATCAGGATAACTGTTGCATTCTCTATGATATTTTTCCCTAACTGTACTAGAGACCTTTTAAGCCACAGAAATTATGTTTATATGAAAATTATACTTGAAGGGACAGAAAAGAAAAACAATGAAAAGAGCCAAAGAGAGACTAGTATTTTTTTTCCTAATCAACCCTATTTGTTTGTTAGTTTGTACATTTGTTTTTCAAGACAGGGTTTCTCTGTAGTCCTGGCTGTCCTGGCACTCCCTCTGTTGACCATGCTGGTCTTGAACTCAGATCTGCTGCCTCTGCTCTCAAGTGTTGGGGCTAAAGGCATATGCTACCGTCACTAAGCTCTGTCAACCTTTTTTTTTTTTTTTTTAAGTTTTTGATATTTATTTATTTTTTATGTATGTGTCTGTTTTTCTTGTATGCCACATGCGTAGAGGCCAGAGAGGGTGTTGGATCCCTTGGAACTGGAGTTAACAGACAGTTATGAGCAGCCACGTGGGTGCTAGGAATCAAACCCCAGTCGTCTGGAAGAGCAGCCAGTGCTCTTTTAACTACTGAGCATCTCTGCAGCCCCTTTATTAACTTTTTAGTTTCTTCATTTAAACTAAAAATATTACAAGCTCCTGTTTTCTAGGTATGTCATAATTACATAGTACTTGGAAAATATCTACGTTTAATGACTAAGTCTGTTAGTTGGTTTAATTAACATTTAACCAAAATGTGTACACGTCTTTTATGTTTTTAAACCTTAGGCTAGACAGCAACAAGCAGAATTGGCCCAACAGGAATGGCTTCAAATGCAGCAAGCTGCCCAACAAGCCCAGCTTGCTGCTGCCTCAGCCAGCGCATCCAATCAGGCAGGATCTTCTCAAGATGAAGAAGATGATGATGATATCTGAAACTCGCCATCTGGGCTTCTGTTTCCTCTATAAGAAAGGAGTGAAAGAAATGCTTATCAGTAATTTTGTATGCATTTTGGTGGACTCACCATGGGTATTCTAGAGATGTCTGCTGTCAGGTTTCAACTACTGTGCTGTTCATGTAAAACTGTCTCTTTGAACTATTGAAAATTTAAAAGTTCAGTATAATATCAGCTTTGAATTTGTAATGGTGTTTCTGGAATCTTAGAGCAGTGTGAACCCTTTATTTGGTCAATAAACAGTGTTACAGAAAACTTCAGGTTTATAAAAATACAGTGAAATTTACAGAGATCTCTTAATCTGTATTTGTATTTTCTCTGCCCTTTTCACTGAACTAAAGTTGAGAATTTTACATTGAGATGGGCCACAGTGTGATGCAGAATACATTGAATCAGGTTGGTGAAAAAAGTTCAGTTCTATATAGTATCTAAATTTCTTTGCCTTTTAAAGTGAGTATATATGTAGGTGACAATTTTATGTTCAGATAAATATACTTGTCTAGAGAAAATCTCAAGACATTCAATAACTAGAAAGGAAATGTATTCACTAGTAGTTGTATAAATTTGGTGAGTTACGTTTTTGATTTTGTTGCTGTTTTGTGTAGCGGTAAAGACTAGTTTTGTTATAGTATAATTTATCCCGAACTACACTATGCCGTTTCAGAGACAGGCTAATTTTGAAGATTATCATGATTCTTCCTATTTGACTCCAGTTCAGTAACTGTTCATAGTATTACTTGCCTAGTCCATTCATGTTTCTATCATTTGATATATAGGTTGGACTTGTGAAACAGTTGCTTGGGTTCCGTTGGTTTAGCTGAGGCTCATGGATATTCAAACCTTTGCTAGGGGAAATGAATGAAAGCTAATGAACATGTTTGCTATGAAAGAGGGCTTTAAAAATTATTTGACATGTAGCTTACTTACTGTTTGGTTTTAGCATAGCATTTACATTTTCTTGACTAGGTGTACTAAAGAGTCCTGTGCTAACTTTTCATATAGCATTGTCCCCGTCATAAATTGAGTGACAGCTTTAAAGTTTTGTGTTTGCTGAAAAAGTGTCATAACTGACCAGCCCTGTGTGAAGTGTTAACTTGCTTGTTAAAGGGAGCAGCTTTAATCTGGTCTCAGTAAGGGTGTGGTGTTGATGGGAGGACCCAGTGTATTTGGAGGAATGGCATAGTGCTTGTATTTTGGAAACAGAAAAATGCCACCTAAGACAATGGGAAGTCACTAGTTCCTGAGTCAGCTGCCAAGTTGCGTAAATTTCTGTATTCATCAAGCCCCAAAAGAGATTCTAGCTGCCAGGATTTCAGTTTTAATTGGAGAGCTAAGTGAAGTTTAAAAGTATTAGATTTCTTATATTCATATTTTTCAGTTTTAGAAGAAGGGAAATATTGTTATGCATTTATCAGATATACTTCCCTGTATAACAGAAAGGGTAGTAAAAGGGTAGTAATTTTGCTGAATGTTTATGTTGATGTTATTTCAAGGTATTTCATGGATATGCCCATGAAGTATTTGGAAAAAAATAGAAGGAATTGTTTTTTTCAAAAAGGTTAAGTACCAAAGGTAGGTAGTTTAGTCTACAGAAATAAGTTAGTCACTTTGGGCTTTTCTTCTTTGTACTGTAACATTCTTTTACTTTGTTCAAAGTATGTTTCTCAAGTAAACAACTATTTAGATATTTTCCATCCTTTTTCTTGCTGATGCAGAGTTCAGGTTAATATCTTACTGCATCTGACAATGTATTATATGTTTGAAGCCTAGTGACTTTTCATTTGAGGTTCTTGTGATTTCTTATGCTGTATTCTTCAAGCAATAAAATTCTGATGTGTTTTGTAAATTGTTTATTTATTTATTACAAATTTTATTCGCTTTGTATCCCCGCTGCAGCCCCCTCCCTCTTCTCCTCCCAGTCCCACCCACCCTTCTTCTCCCCCTATGCCCTTTCCCTAGTCGCCTGATAGGGGAGGTCCTCCTCCCCTTCCCTCTGACCAGGTCTCATCAGAACTGGCTGCATCATCTTCCTCAGAGGCCTGGCAAGGCTGCACCTCTCTCCCCCGGGGGGGGGGGGTGATCAGAGAGCTAGCCACTGAGTTCATGTCAGAGACAGCCCTTGCTCCCCTTACTAGGGAACCCACTTAGAGATTGAGCTGCTTATGGGCTTACTTTGAACAGAGGTTCTAGGTCCTTTCCATGCAAGGTCCTTAGTTGGAGTATTGGTCCCTGCTGGCTGCCCATGGGCCCAGGTATTTTAGTTCTGTTGCTCTCCTTCTGGGGCTCTTGTCCCCTCCAGGTCTTTCTCCCCTTTCCTAAGAGTGCCCACACTCTGTCCAAAGTTTAGCCATGAGTCTCAGCCTCTGCTTCAATACCCTGCTGGGTAGAGTCTTTCAGAGGTCCTCTGTGGAAGGCTACTATCCTGTTCCCTGTCTTCTACTTCGGATGTCTATCCTGTTTGCCCTTCTGAATGAGGATTGAGCATCTTCCCTAGGGTCCTCCTTGTTTATAAATTGTTTTTATAGTTAATTATTATAAGGGAGTTTCTGTTACCATTCTTACTACTTTGGAGAATGGGAAACCTAAAAGACAGTGGTTATTTAGTATGTAGTACCCCTTTCTCAGTTTACTTATATTACAGAAGACATAATTTTGCTTGTTTTTGTCCAGACACAGGGAAAACAAAGTTCATTAAGCAGCATCCTTTTTGGTTGGTTTTGGTTTTGATTTTTCGAGATAGGGTTTCTTTGTGTATCCAGTCCTGGCTGTGCTGGACTCGAATTCACAGAGATCGTCTGCCTCTGCCTCACAGGTGCTGTGATTAAAGGTGTGTGTCATCACGTCGAGCTAAAGGGGAACTATTTTTAAAACTATACAATATATACAGGATAGGGCACAGATAAAGTTCCACAAATTAAACATAGTCCTCAGATAAAAAATGGGACATTATGAAGACCTACAAAGTCTTTGCTCTTGTTTTTTTCATGTGTGTGTATGGCTATTGTCCGTACAGGTATGTCTGTGCACATGTGTGTTGGTTGTCCAGGAAGAGGATGTCAGATCCCTAGAACTGAGTTACAGAAGATTATGAGCCACCGTGTGGATGCTGGAACTCAAATCCTGGTCTTCTGGGAGAACAGCCAGTGTAACTGAGGGCCCCCAGAAATGTCTTCTTCTTTTTAGACATGCTGTCACTGTATAATGCAGGATGGACTTGACTCTGCCCCACTGCTGCTGGGATTAAGTGCCAGAGTCTCAGCTTTTGGCATGGTCCAGGGTAGACTCTGGGACAGGATGCAGAATCCCCACTTTATATTTTGGGTCACCAAGCTGATGGCTCAGGCAACTGATCATGACAGATGAAAGAAGAAAGGGGAGGGAGCCCAAGATTCCTCCTTTAGGACTAGGGACTGGCTACACTGCTGCTAAGGAGGAAAGCCTAAACTGACCACTATTTTCCCTGTAGCCAGGGCTGTAAAAGGGCCTCCAGGGTTGTAAAAGGGGGCGCTTTGGTCTGTACGTAGGCTGAAGTGTACCTGCCGATGGCAGAGGCCTGAGTCTGTTAACTTACTTGTGAGTCTACAGGAAAATGAGTAATAACAGAGAGATTAAAAAGTAGACCACTCTCACAAGCATTCAAGAGGAAAAGGTGGATGAAGTTAAGGACTCCAACTTCCAAAAAATCCCCACAAGTTCACATATGAGATGATTTTGATTTCAGCCAGCATCTCCTCTGCAGAAATGGCAGCAAGTCAGGCTGCCGGTTCCACAGCGTCAGTCCGTATAGACCTGTACATATTCATACACATACTGGATAATACACAAGGAGCTTCTTACATACAGACTGTTGACATAGACTCATGTAATATGTACAAAAGCACATATACATGCAAACATATCTAAACACATATTTACAAGTCATGGATAAAGCAAATTCCAGTGGACTTCAACCCTAGTTTATTGTTGGTCACACTTTTATCCTGAGACGAAGCTTTCAGAGGAGGAATTACCTCATGGTCAAAAAGGCAATCACAAAAATTCTGAAATACAATAGGTTACATATTTTAAAACTAAACATTTCTTATCTGTGTGTCCATTACATAACTTTATAGTTCAGTGTGACAAAGGCTGACAAGGCCTAAAGGTTAACAGGGTCCAAAAGTTATAAGAATATGTCTTTTCAATTAGGACTGACCTGCCTACACATTTTCCAGCTATTTTAGTTTATAGTGAGTTCAGGACAAAAATTTTATCTGTTTTTCATTCTAAAAAACAAAGTAAACTTAAAATGACAGTATGACAAGGTATAAGGAACTACAGTGAACCAGTTTGTATTTAATGACATCAAGGTTTGTACTTAATTTAGAGATTTCTTGGTAGGCCCATAATATCATGGGAAGTTTAAACCAGCTCGCCTATATTTGTGGTGTATACCAGGATTTGTGGTGCCCTCTCTGGTGAAGGATTATCTGAAGCCACAAATCTGTCTCAAGCCTGTCTCCCATCCTGTCTCCCAGTGAGGCATATAGAGGTCCAAAAAGGTATTTATTGCAGCCACAAACGTTCTAAAATTGGTTTAGACATTCTAAAACAATTTAACTTCTAAAACTGTTTGAATCAAATCAGGAATTCCATAATCAGGAGTTAATTCATCCGATCAGCAGTGTGTCTTCAATAAGATCCCATTGGAAGTTTGTTCAATCAGAGTGGGTAACTACCCAGAAAGAGACAATTCAAGCTATGCCAGACTTTAGAGAGACGCAGCCATGCACAAATGACGGGATTGTCAGAAATTGGAAGCAATACTGGGGTGCATCACGGTATAGACCTTGCTAAATACCGGATCCTTCTGGGAAGCTCACATGCCTATTGAGCTCCTTTAAGAGATGGCTCTTGACAATAAAGGGCATGTGCCATCCTGCCTGGTTCTTGCCCCTGTTTTAGTAGTCTTCTCAAAGCTATAAATTATTTTGCCTCAAAATTTTAGGTGAATGCAGTCATCTAGAATCTCTCTCTTTTTAAACTTTTCATGTTTGTGAATGTTGCTTTTTATCTGTAACAAGTGACTTAAACAGATTTATTCTTTTACAATTCTGTAGATCTGAACTCCTGATCAGTTTTATTAATCCAAAATCAAGTTATCATCAGAACTAGTTCCTTCTATAGGTGGGTGATGGGAGTCTGTCTTTTCATCTTCCAGCTCCCTTATTCTTTACCAATGGCCCTTTTCTTCATGTCAACACACCATGTTCCCCTTTACACTTAGTTCTTCTACCTCTTTATGTTGCAAGATAATTCTCCAGTCACAAGATCCTCAATTATATATGCAAAGTCTCTTTTCCCAGATGAAGGATATTCACAGTTTCTAGAGATTAGAACCCAGGATAGCCTTATTTAACCTGTTTGCCACATAGTATTTTTTTAACCAACATTTTATGAGCTGCTTTTGCTTTTTTATGTATTCATTTTATTTTTATGTTTATTAATATTTTGCCTGTATGTATATATATATGTGCACCTCAGGCCATTGTTTAACCTCTCTTTGCTATATGATATTCTATTTATTTATTTTTTGTTTGTTTGTTTTGGTGGCTGGAGAGGCAGCTGTGAGTTCTGGGAACTGAACTCTTATATTTTT